TCCATTTTTTTATTTGTTTAATATTTTTAGTTCTATACTATTTTTAACTATTTTAACTATTATTACTATTTTAAGCATCTTCATTCCTACAGGCGTCTTCCCCTCGTTGCCACACACACTGTCTTTACATTAACTCGACTTTAAACAACGTGTATCTCTTTACATTAAACAATTGTGCAGGCGGTAAGAAAGATTTACACTGATAGGAAAAAGAAATTGTTGAAAATATATAGCGCAATACAGTCACATCTCTCTCTCTCTCTCTCTCTCTCTCTCTCTCTCTCTCTCTCTCTCTCTCTCTCGCAAATCAATTTCCTTCCTTTTCTCTCACAATTATTCTCGCACTGTCTGCCTCACTTATTAGAAAGACAGAGGAATAGAAAATGAAAGATAAAAATGGAGAGAGAGAGAGAGAGAGAAAGAGATGGGTAGGTCCCCTGCAGCGAATGAACTTTGGATCAGTTGAGAAGCTGCATTGACCTTTAACCCCGGCCTGAAGGTCATCAACCCTCGCCTGAAATACCAGAGGGGAGGAAACCGATCTAGAGATACTGAAGTCCTTACCCACCCAAGGGCAAGGTCAGAGAGAGAGAGAGAGAGAGAGAGAGAGAGAGAGAGAGAGATATTCCTACACTGTATTACGCTAACAACTCTCCCTCCACCTTCACAAACAATTATATATACAAAGATAATTATACTAACAAATAAACAAAACTACGATTCATAAACAAAGAAATAAACGAATAACTGCGGATCATAAAGAAATAAACAAACAACTAAATTGAAAATAAAGAAAGAAATAATCAAACAAAAAATTCACACAACTTCACATGACAATTTAACTAAGCTAAGAAATTCAATAAACAAAACATGTAAACCGTTTAAATGAAGGAGGACATTTACATCATAACAATCTATTAACTCATACTAAAATACTAACCTATATCCGGTACATTAAAAAACAGTTTAAAGTTTGCTAATAAAAAGGACTAATTATTTTTTCGTTGCCTTGTAAACGTTCTGGCGGAGAGTGAAACAAAAAGAAATAATGGCGATTGAAAGATGTTTATAAAAAAATATATATATCCGCGGTAAACGATTCCTAATTAATAAAACAAAACAGTAAAAAAAAAATAAGTATAACACAAAGGAAAAAATCTGTCGCCTGGCGTAATTCTGACGGAGGCAAAAAACATAAATAAATAATCAAGAGACAATAATGAAATCACACGAGAAAACATTTTCAATTAAAATTAAATTAAATTACAAAACACGACAATGAGAGTAATTTTAAGTTTTCTTCTTTTTTTTTTTTATCGTCGTCTGGCAAACGTCTGGCGAAGATGACATTCTTTGAAAGATTATACACGAGAACTATATACAGTATTTACATGCAGATATTCCCATTAAGATTTTATTGGCAAGCATTAAGGCAAGAAATACGAGGTTCATTGTCAGCTGTAATGGCCGGCTCAAAGATACGTACAATTTTTTTTTTTTTACCCATAACAGAGGACACCGAGACCCTTGCCTAGTTACAGTAGAATCTCAGTGTAATTTCGACGCCATGATTCTCAAAAAAAACTATTTTTTTTAATCATGTAACAAAGGATAAGAGAATGCAGTAACCTTTGTGTAATTTAAACACTAACCGTCCATTACAACTCCGACACAAGGAATCACAGTGAATACCTCCGCCCTCCCCCCAGCACAGTAACGACCAGAGTTCCTCTCTGGTTATATATATATTCATACACAGTTGACATAGTGTGTGTAGCTGAAAGGAACCTCGGACAGAAATCAGCAAGAACCAACGGCCCGTTACGCGTTATTCTCTGTTGACTCATCAGTGTTCGAGTCACTTTTTTCAACCTGGTAATGCAAAATTTTAACTTGTTATTGTTTGTTTCAGGTGCCTCTACTGCCGTGATTATTGAGTACCGTTTCATTTGGTATTAAGCTTTTACAACAAACTTTAAAATTTTATCTAAGCTTAAAGGATATATAATTAGCTTTTACTACACTGTAGGTATACAGTAAACTTAAGTATGTTTTTTATCAAACTGCATTTTAACGACAAGTAATCATGCAAGTGACAAAATTTCAAATCAGTTTATAGCTGTTTTACATCCAACGATTATATAAAAATATTTTGTATGAAATTTTAGGAGAAAATCGTCTAAAAATCTAAATAGGTAAACATCGTAAGGAATTAGACAAAATTATCAAACACTATAAACAACACGAAGTTGAAAACCTCTTTTGTACAACACTTGTTATGACTGACTGATTGGTTTACCCAGTCAGCTTACACACAAATGAATATACACAACAACGATCATAGTAACTGGTACACACACACACACACACACAGTAAAGAAATGGTTATTATTCAACACGTGATAGGTAAACAAAATACAAAATAGCGGGTTAAACTATTATATCCAACTACTGCAATCATTAAGCAGTCTATTTTTCATGACACGCTCTACTGAACACTTACATAATCAGTAAGTCAGCTTTAATCACTCACTGTTTCACTAATTCTGGCTGTGATGTATTCGTCATTACCAGTTTAGTGTCTGCCAACTGTTTTGAGTATTGTGTACGTGTGCGTTTTACACGGGCGTTTTATGTATATATTTTATGTACTTGTGTTGCATGTTATGTGTTGGCGCTGTGTTGTGTATATATTGTAAGCACGTGTACTGTACTTGTGTATGCGTGGTGTATACTCGGTCGAGACACACTCTTTGTTCAAGTATTATTATTACCCTCTCTTCCATTCTCATAATTCTCTTTTATTTAGTCAGTGATGTTATATAAAGTCATGTGATCATAAAGACTGATAATTAAAATACCCCGGAGGAGGGAGGCATTTAACTCTCTTGACGTCATAGATAATGAGTCAAATTTTCGGCTACAAAATGTTAATCTCTATTTATTTACACTTGGTTAATTCATAAGCATTTGTAGCTCATATGATACGAGTTTTATGAACAACGTGTGACACTGAACATCGTAAACGCAGATTTTATGTGGTACAAAAAACTATGAGCGAGAATTTAACTACCTGTTCATGTTCAGAAGCAGTCGACCCATAAAAAAACAAACATTTATCTTACCTCGTCTGTCAGCCGACGTCTGCTTCTCGAGCCAAATTTAAGGAGCTTCTGTCACTTATCAATCTTCAAGACGTTTGTTGGCTTACAATTAGCAAAATTTGAGGCAGAAATCCTGAAGAAAGGAACACAAAACAGAAAACACACTACTCTTGTTGACCTGAGGTGACACGGAGGCTTGTTTGGACAGTGGACATCATGAATACCAACAAATGGAACAAAACCACATTATCTAATCATGGTATACATTCTTTTTATTATTATTTGTAAATTTATACATAAGATTTATTGTACTCTTTTTAAATTAAATTCATTATAGGTGATATTTTTCAATACAAAAAAGGAATTGCATTTGTGCAAGGATAGGTGACAAGAAAACATGTTGGTAGCTCTGTTAAGTCGGGAGAGAGCATTTCATACTTTAGGACGCCCAAACAATGTAGTTTTCAACAGAATTTGAACCTTAAGGATTTTGTTCTGTCGTCATTACCATCATCCCTGTACCATCCAGTCAGTAATCAGGAATGTTGCTACTCACTTGATAAAGGTTTATTGACATTAAAAATAAATTTGTAACCTGTGTTTTGGTACAAAGTATTTAGAGAGAAAAATAACCATATTTTTAGAGTACTTATGACCTCAAATTCTTAGACGTGTATTAATGGTTGGATGTCAATCAGTAAATATTATGTACACTTATATACATATACTTTCTGCCACAATTAGAATCAAAATAGTAATTGAGATTATTGGGTTAGATTTCATACAGTTTTGATATTTTTATTTGTTTTCTAATTAAAATGGTTTCCTTTATTCATATGTTCCTGATATCCAGAGAGGGTATCTAGTAAATGTCGTCTTATGGTGATTTTGATATGGCTATTTTGTGATACAGCTTTAGTTAGCCAACTAGAATGCTCCTAACTGGTCAACACCCACAAGTAACATCAAAATTATACCAAGAATCAACATTAACTAAATACGTTCTATTAGCAGCAATTAAAGAAAAAATGAAGATGAGATGCTTAACCGCACATAGTAGGTATGTAGTCTTAAATATATCCTCTAAACTACGTACAAATATTCTTTATATGCTTTAACTAAAATCAACCTGGTAGGGAAATTCATATATCTTCAGTTACGAGGACGTGTATGAGTGTATGTGCTGTGAGGGAGGTTCCTTCTCACTGTAGTATCCAGGCAGGTCAGGGGTGAAGCACCGCACGTGACCTTGCTGGAGTGAAGTGACCTCACACCCACGCCCCTTTGTTGAGCCTCACCAAGAAATGCATTCATTGTGGTGTTAAGTTTGATAACAATATCGGTCTTTTGAAAATATTTTCATTAATACTAATATCGCTATTGATAATATTAACAGAATCAAGTGAAACAATTATTCTCTCACTCACCTCCGTCCATAACATCCCCCCATAAGCCAGTGGACGCCATGCACTCCCTCACACGTCTGTCTTTCCTTCAAGATATATGAGCTTCAGTGACATCCTGTTCTGTGTATGCTTAATGTTGTTCTCCTCTTCACACTATAAAATATTCTATGACACTTTATAAAATCTCTATATGGTATTCAACAATATCACATTTATTCTCCAGTACCTCCCAATCTTGGTTTTCTAGTGCAGTAATTCTATCAAATGTTTTTTCCTATATTCACAAATGCCAAAGTTTTTTTTCCTTTCTACAAATATTTCCATTGTCATAGATTATTTTTCAATTAGTTTATCTATACTGTATATTGTTGTCATCTATTCCATAATTTTTCCACTTTGAGTTCATCTAATTCTGCAGCCCTAAGCATATACTGTAATGATCAAACTAACATCTTAATTAGACTAAAGAGGAATTATTATTACAACACCATTCAAATGAGATCTTTTTATTTATGTACTATATACAAAACATATATAAAAGTTACTGGAATTATGTACACAATATACACATAAATACACATATATAACTGTGGCAAGCTCTTTGTGGACGTTCTCAAGTCACTTTTGAACGGGGACAAACTACACTATGTATCTTGTCCACTCTTAGTACAGTTGTAGTATTATTTCTAACCGGTTGTAGTTGGTGTATGCCCTAAACAAATCTAAAATCATACACATACAAAATACATACCCATACAACACGTATACACTTAAATGTACACATTCCTTACATATACACACCCTATAATCATTTCCTATATAAGTACACCCAATATGCATACCAGTATACCACCCAAACATACACCACACATACCACACACACACACACACACCCTCATCTCTCCACCTATTGAACAAGACTAAGTGACATTACTATATCTTAAAGAAATGTATTAATGTCATGTTTAATTTCAAAATACACCTTTAACCTCTGTACCTCAGTATCCAATATCAATAATCCTTAAGCAAGTTAATAATAAAGGTCAAATCTCTATGAAACAAAAATTCTCATATTAACTATTCATGGTAATAACAGTTGGAAGGAGATGAGAGTTTTCTATTATCAATATGGAACAAATTTTTAGTTAGGACAAACACCAACAATGACCAGTTTTTAACACTTGTTGTATTAGACTCTACCAGAGGCCAGACTACCAGTAACTCCCCCTAGTGGTGTGAGGTCAGGACAACCCCAGCCTTGTGTCGTCTAGTCTCAACAACACACACTGACGATAACTCACGACACCGAACAGTAAACTCCCAGGGGCCAGGACGATAATAAGTACAAGTTACTCGTATGCTGCGTCACCTTACAAGTAAATTTTTCTCTGACAGTGAATAAGTGAGTGAGTCAGTGACAATTATTCTCTGTCAGTGAGGGAGTCAGTCAGTGACATATGGAGCTGAAGCATATTGTAGCTAATAACAATACGTAATAATAATGCAATACCGTACTGATAATACATTCATAAACGGTACAGTACTGTATTTATCAAAATTAATTAAATGATAAACTACCATGAACCCAATTTTCAGTAGTCTCGAGGTTGGTTATGGTATCCTAAGTTAAGTCATCCCCTATAAATGCAAGTTGTAGTGTCATCACTCACCACACAGGGGGAGGTGGTAGTGTGGCCAGTTTGTGACGGTCAGTATACACGGGTCCTCTAAGGGGGGGCGGGGGGACAACAATCTTACAATAAACACGGTGCTTGGCTGGAGGTTTCTGGCATCCCGAGTGAAGGACATCATAGTAAACAAATGGATTCATTCGTAAGTTAACATAAAACAATGGAGGTCGTTCACAAAATTGGCTGTGGCAGTAAACATAAAGCTTACTAATAAAAACTGACTTGTACACAAATGGTTTCATTCAATACATCTGGCAGTTCAAAGTGAAAACACACCTGTAGGCAAATAAGATCTAATCATATTGGATACTATGATTATATATTAACAACTGATTCACTATTTTAAGCTAACCTGTAAACAAATTGGTTCCTTCGTGAAATTTGACGCTACAACAAACTAACGATTCATTGGTAAAAATAGACTCTGGTACACAGATGATTCCACTCATCATACCTGACACTTGTGAACATATGACTCCATTCATTACAGATGGCCACCACATGACAGCAGCTGGCCGGTGTATAAAAATGGTCACTACACGGAACAAACAGATATTATCCATTATTGAACAAAATATCTAAATATCTCAACATTAAACTCCCAAATTAACATATTTGGGAATATTAAATCTCAGTTCTCTTATAATTTATTTTAAAAAAGGTTAAAAATTTATTCAATCTGAAAATAAAAGTCTTACAAGGACAAACAAAAACAAAAACCATTTTTGTTCTTCTTTGCCTTGTTTTTTTGTGTTTTATTTTGTAATTCATGTGTTTAGTGTGAACTCCATACACTGACATCCTAGAGAGACAAATAATATTCCCCCTCATTTATATATCTATATATATAAAATTACAATATTCTAAGTACTTTACACTTTGAACTTCCTAACAACAATGTGAGAAGTCTTACCAAAAAGATCTTCATTTCTCTCTAACTTAATGTTTATATTAACACAAGGATCTGAGATATTTATTAATCTCCCTTAATAAAGAAAAAAAACAATAATGACTCGTCTTTCGACACCATTTTCTATTACATCCTATTATGCAAATATTATTAAATAAGGTTTATATACAGTGTAGTGTGTGTGTGTATGTCACCCTGCACACAACACATCCTCCCCACCTAAAACAACTCACACAAAATACTAATTTGATTATCATGTACAGTACATAAAAAAGATACACGTTTTGATTTATAGTTAAAAAAATGAACAAAATCTTACATTAACTATGGCCTAAAAATATTTACATAAAAGCAACGCCACTGAGTTAGAACATAAAGACAAAACTTAGCATTACATCTGGTGTCCCAGGACCACTCTGGCTCATATTTAGCTACACAAACAAGTCCCCATGGTGTGATCTCACGACACGACATAATCTGTTCTCTGTACCAGAAATCTATGATTATTTCTGTAGCTCACTGACCATATTGTCTCTCACTATCCATTATGTAAAGAGAGTCACCACTATCCTTGTGCTGTACACTGTCTCACACACACCTCAATCCTTCCATTTCATTCTCAGTCTTCTTTTTCATCTCCTTCCTGTTGCATCATTCCACTACAGTTTCAAACACAAATATACTGTACATCATAATAAACTACACTGTTCTGTATCTACTACTGGTAAGTGTTTTGCGTTTACTGTGTCGTCAGGTCATACTACAGGAACAGTTTGTAAACAGGGGTACAGGTGTCCAGGTGGTCATCAAGGAGACAGGTCACTGACGACAGGTGACAAACTACTCTTGCTTGTATTGTCCCCACCCACCCTTAGGGGTTTAAGGGACCCATGGGGTCCCTATAGAGGAAAGGGACTTACAAGGGAAAGTTTATAAGATCTTATGAGGGGTCAGGGATTCCCTTAGGATCTATTGATAACTCCAAAACGAGGGATTTTTAGAGAGGCACCCCATCGTGGGACTCTATACATAGACCTCAGTTTGGCAAGGGATTTCTATGAGTAATCCTACAGTAAGACCCCACAGAGGGGGATTCCATATAAGTGCTCAGGTAGGATTTTATGTCTTATCCTTACGAAATATCATCAATAAGGAGTTTCCTTAAGTCCTTCAGACTTACCAGGGACTTCTCCAAAATCCCTAAAAGAAAATCCCAAGTTAAAAATCTGTCAATGATACTTTCAAGTTAACATGTTAGAAGATGGTCTTAAACCAACACCTCCCAAAGGATTTTCGACATAGAAACATAAAAGACCTAAAACAGTTTGTCTCCTCCCGGTCACGTAACACATGAAGGAGTTATATCTTTCGTTAAGTATCTTATAATGGCAGTCATACTTCTCTCTTTCCTGTTAAATATCATAAAAAGGGGCAGTCTATTTCCCATTAAATATCTTATAAAATACGATCTATTTTTCCCTGTCAAATGCCTGATAAAAGAACATTTATTTATTTCGTTTGTGAAATAAATAAACTTAAGCTGGGAGCACACTAGGGAGATGTTCTACACCACACGGCCCAGTGATGTAAAATATTCTATTAACAAGTTTAGTCTTACCTAAAATCCTGACAAGGTATAAATTAAGGTCTCACTCTAAGTAGACATATGATCTGTGGAGGTCAGACTCTCAAAGATTCGTAAGTTAACTTTTTTCCCTTTAACTGATATTGCAGGAACGTATCTTAACTGGCTCACCTAACCTAAGACAAACATGGTGGCCTAAGGATATGGAAATTGCACTGATACTTGACTGAAATCAGATACGTTCTCTGAGCACCAGTTAAAGAGGAATTATTAATCGCATGAATTTCTGAGAATCCGGACCTCTGGGGTAATGTGCTGTGACCTTGGACCGTGACCTTACGCAACCAGATATTGAATAGTTAAAGGTCACTCTGAATTACTCTGAACACACACACACACACACACACACACACACACACACACACACCGTAATGACACGACCACAGGGTGTCATCAAGTTAAGTATCCACCAAATGTAAACAAGAAGCATGAGAGGCGCCCTTTGGTCTGGTCGTCACAGCTTCTCCCTCAACAAAACATAACGTTAAGAACCTAAAGAGTCGTATCCTCTCAGCAACCAGAGGGAAACTGATCTTTAACTTAAACTGTCATAAAGGTCAATATTGCTCATCTCCCTGAAGGCTGCCGACCTGAAGGAGTGAGTACGTGTTACGGAATTCTCGCCTTTGTCACCTCCTGAGTAAAGGGTCAGAGTTCCCCTGCCGGAGTTACACAGGTGACTAGTCTCGGGAGGTGTACATAATACGCCCCCCGTCACACACACATACTCGCTTCTCTGGTCCACTGCCTCCTACATATCGTGGCATAACTCACGTTCTCAAAGATTCATAGCTTAAATTTCCCCTCAAAGCTGGAGATATGAGAACGTGACTCAGGTGACTCAACAACACAGTCCCTCCCTCTTAGCAATATAACAGTTTACCCCTCTAGCTAGTGACGTAAGGACGTGTTTTATTGGTTCACTTCAGTAACAACACTATTCCTCTTAAATGCACTTGTGAAGGCGTAATGTAAGTGTCTCCCTTAAGCTGTGTCGGCAACTTGAGTCCAACTTGTTGTGTCACACTGAGACTGCCACCACTGGAGTGGAGGGTTCTCTCACCACTCATTAAGGGGACAACTTTAGGTAATAATCCTTGAGAGCCGTGAGTGTGGACCTCTGCACCACACCAGGCACCCTCTGTCAAATTATTAATGCATAAAAGAAGAAAAATAAGAACGTCAAAACCCTCAAGAGAAAGAGGATTTGTTCCTAGAAACTAAAACTACAATAAATGAAACTTTAAAAAAAATAAAGAGTCGCTCACGGAGAACGACGTGTGGTGGTCCCGCCTGGCCCGGGTGTAAACAACTTACTTCACCAATAGATGAGTGCCAAAAATTAACTCTTACAGTGAATCATAAAGTGCAGCAGCCTCTCGCAGGAGTCTGGTTCTCTTTCTTTCTTAAAGTGCTAAACCAGAATGACATATTTTTTCGTTTTTTTGTTTTTTTTGAACATTGGAACAGTAGCAAATTTATTCATTGATAATTCTTTCTTTTTTTGAACATTAGAATATTGTTAAATTTAGGATAATTGGCAACTATCTCGCAGGTTAACGTAGCGCAGTGGCTCCTCTTCGTTCTGGTGACGTCATCTGGGTTGACTGGTGAGCGTCACTGAGGAGCCAACACTTGAGGGGTGACGCCGGGAGGCCTCTCAAGACCTCGCCGCCTCCACCACCGTCCACAGCCGTAGCACCACGACGCACCTCCTTCAGAAGTTGGTTTCCTCAGGAGTGCGCGTGGGCCTGAAGGGCACAGCCTCCTCTGGCAGGAGTCTGGCTACAGCAGTGGTGGTGGCGGTGGACGGGGGAGGCTGGGGGGTGTGGGGCGGACCAACTGAGGCTCCTGCTCCCCCCTGCGTGAGGGCGTGGGCGTTAGTAGGCCAGGCGGGGGCGGATTGTCACACGTAACTCTCAGTCCTGCGACCCAAGCACTGGTTGTAGCAGTTCTTCCAGACGGAGAGGGTCTTGCCGCTCCACACCCAGAACCCAGAGGTGATGCCCACCACCAGTGTGCTCAGATACTTCCCCATGAAGAAGATGAAGTCTGGCCTTGAGAGCGGCGTTTCGTTGTCGACACCCGGGGGACAGTTGATGTTGTAGGTCACCCAGGGCTCCTCCTTGGACCCACACTTGTCCCTCTGCCACGCCACCATCCACTCGTCATGATAGGCCTGCTCGTAGAAGAGACAGGCCACCAGCGCCGTCGCCGGCACCGTGTACAGCACACTGAACACGCCAATACGGATCATGAAGCGCTCCAGCTTATCGGTCTTGGTGCCGTCATGCTTCATGATGGTGCGGATCCTGAAGAGGGACACGAACCCCGTCAAGAGGAATGCCGTGCCCAACACCAGGTAGAAGAACAGGGGCGCCAACACGAACCACTGCAGGGCCTTCACGTTCCACAGACCCACGAAGCATACGCCCGTCATCACGTCTCCTGCAACACAAGAGTAATTGTTAGGCACTGCAAACAAACAAATAAACAAACACAATAAACAACAATTACACGCTGGTAACAAAACAATTAAATGCTCCATTCAACATTACACACCATAGTAAAAAAAATTGCAAAATCATAAGTGTTCAAATGATTTAATTTAATCAGACACAAGAAACAAAAGAATGACAGTAAATAATAAGCTACATGGTGTACAGAATATAAAACACCAAAAAAAGTAATAAAGACAAGGAACTAGAAACAAGAGATCATATGAGAGTATAAACAAAAAAGACATAATAAAGTCAAACGCTGGAAACAAAAGGATAACGATTAGTCATTACCAACAAAAGAATTCAATATATTAACACACATTAAAAACAAAAGAGGAACTATTTATTACAGAAAACAAAAGAATAACGATTACACAGTATAAACCAAAAATGACAATGAGTTCAGTAAATACGTTTATAATTAATGTGTCGACCAATAGGCGCCATGACAGACAAAAGACGAACGAATCAGGGTATTGAAAATATTGTAATGGTTAACATTAATACCAGGTGCATGAGAGAGACAGAGAGAAAGAAGGAAAGAGAGAGAGAGAGAGAGAAAGGAGAGAGAGAGAGATTTTTATATAATTAAAATAAAGAAAAAATATATCATCTCAGTTCCTCAACTTCCCGAGGTGTTCAGTAGTTTGCCCGCCTCCTCCTTCCTATGACACAGACGAACGTTCGCCCGGCTTCTGCCTCCAGGGGCGTTATTATAATAGCAAAGGCATCAACATCATTAACACGACTCCCAACTGAACCAAGATCCGGGTTCTGTATTCTCTAGGGCTCGTAAGATAAATTTTAACTTACGATAAAATGGTGGATTCTCAAAAGGTCTTATTTCCCCCCCCCTAGTTGTGATGATAGACTAACACACTTAACTTACGACACAGAGACAGATCCTTTAATACTCGTAGTGAAATTTTCTCAACCTGGTGACGCATAAACGTATCTGATTGAGTGAATGACTGACTTGACGCACCGACACATGTTAACGGGCCAAAATCTAGTGGTAAAACTGTACTGAGACGTCATATGAAATTCTCCTTGAAAGTACGCGTTCATAATCCCGAATTCTCAAAGATGGCGGCCAATACTACACTGAGACTCGACCTCATCCATAGTGTTTGAGTTTGTGATCAGTAGCCGAGAGATAAACACGGTAGGGAGAGGCACGCAGGCTATTATGGGTGACTACTAGGCCCTAATAGGAGTGCTAGGCCTAATGCTCGTACTGTTAACAAGATCGCCACCGCAGGCAGAAGACAGGCAATGCATCCGTCTGGCGTAGAATCTTATGAAACTCCAACATCTGGTCGAATAGTTGGCGAGTTGACAGTGGTGGTGGTGTTGTTCAAGAAGTCGTAAAGGCGCTAACGAGATGCGTAATTAAACGACAAGGGGGGGTGAGGATCGTCGGGGGTAGGGGGGGCCTTCTGGCTGACTCGATGACTTCATTATCACGCTCCTGATGCTGACCACGCCACCCCCGGGAGTAGGGGAGGGAGGTGAGGGAGGGGGGAAGGGAGAAGAGGTAAGGTAAGGTGAGGGGAAGGAAGGGAGGTGAGGGGGTTGAGGGAAGGGAGGTGAGGAGGGTTGAGGGCAGGAGGTGGGACGAGAGAGTAGGGAACAGAGGGAAAAGGGGATGTGAGGTGAAAGAAGGTGAGGAGAGAGAAGATGAGAGAAGAGGGTTGAAGGAAGTTGGGGAGATGGAGGAGAGGGGAGGTGAGGGAAGGACAGGTATGGAAGAGAATGAGAGGACACAGGAGTAGACTGAAGAAAGAACAGGGAGGGAGAGAAGATGAGAGGGAGGGGGAGGATGAGTGGGAGGGAAGGGATGAGAGGGAAGGGGATGATGAGAGAGAGGGGGAAGGGGGATGAGAGGAGGGAGGGGAGGGAGAGGATGAGGGGAGGGGAGGGGGATGAGAGGGAGGGAGGGAGGGCGTGTCAGGTGAGATGCACTACGACATGCTAGTGAGTACAGTACCAAGGCACCATGAAGACATAAACAAGCGAAGAAAAGATAACAAAACAAGAACGTAGAAGACATAAGAAGACAGAGAATAAAGATCAATAAGAATACACAAACATTAATAAAATACATTAGCTCACAATACAATAGAAAAAATTACTACACAGGCAACAAAAAACGAGAAATTAAATAAAATTAGCCTGCTGGAAGGGGTGACTAAAGCATTCCTAAAAACAACGGTATTCTGTCGGACCCTCGCCCCCAGGCACTTTAAACCTGCATCCCCCGAGGGTATTGGCAAGACCTGAAGGACGGGGGCGTAGGAAATTAAGAGTGCAAAGTTTACGACTGAGAAAGCACTCTCATCGTTGCCTTAAAGGGTCGTTTGATGATTGTTGTTCATGTTGTTGTGACAGTCGTAGTGGGGGTGGTAGTAAGGCTTGTGGTTAGGGTGTGGAGGTGATGGTGGTGGTGTGGGAGGAGGTGGTGGGGGTGGTGGTAGTGGTATTGATGTGGGAGGAGGTGGTGGGGGTGGTAGTAGTGGCGGTAGGGATGGTACTGGTTGTGAGGGGATGGTACTGGAGATGGTTAGTAGTTAGGCGAGGGGTCAATGGTTTGTTTTTGTTGCTGGTTGTGTTGTTGGAGGGTTAAGTGGATGTAGGCAAGTGACAGGTGGTAGTTGATGGTTATTAGGTGGTTAGGGTGGTGCTTATGATACTGACAGGTGGTTAAGGTCGTAGTTAGGGTGGTGATTATGATACTGACAGGTGGTTGTTGGCTGTTGTGTAGGTGGTTAGGCATGAAGTAAGTGCATGTTATGAAAGACACACAGGTGAGAGTGTCACAGCAGTTGAGTGCCTTCACCTCTCACTCAACACACACACACACACACACACACACACATCAGCATCCACAACTTTCCGCGACCTTACTACAACTACCACCACCACCACTGATGATAATAATAATAATAATAATAATAATAATAATAATAATAATAATAATAATAATAATAATAATAATAATAATAAAGAAACTACTGTATGACCAAAATATATATTCCATTAATCAAAACATATTTAATACTTTATATAAATCAATAAGTCAAAATATTTATGAAAGTTAAAAAAAAATGGAATTAAAAATAACTTTCTAAAAAGGTGTAAAAGTTATGAGAGGGCAACGGGGGTGGTAGTGGAGATGGAGGTAGAGAGGGAAGAAAGGGGCTGATGAAGAGAGGGAGAGGTAGAGAGGGCAGAAAGGGTGAATCCCACTCAGCCAACGAAACAAAAAGGAAAGTTGTGGGTGTCGACAGAGAAGGAGATGGGGGGAGGGGAGAAGGGAAGAGTGGAAGGGAGGGGGGAAGATCTCTCGACTCTACCCCCCCCCTCCCTTTGCCTGGAATGGGGCCGCAGGACTATCACCTAACACATGTCTGTTCCATCACCCATTTCACCCATATCCTGACACCCACGGCCTTAAGAGTGGGTGACATCAAGAGACATGGGAAAGGTGATGATGTATGGGAGTAAAAAAAAGAAAAAAAAGGAAAGATGTGGAATGGGGGGGGGGTCATTATAAGACTATCTCCCCCTCCCATCATCCCTATCACACAGGTCCGTTCCATTATAGTTTCCTCCAGGGTAAAGTTTTGAGTTTGTGGGAAAGGAACTTGTTTTCTATGGGAGAGAATATGGAAGGGGAGACTTATCACCTAATACATAACCATTCCATCACCCCCACTTCCCCCTCTTTGTTCTTTCTTTCTTGGTTTAATGTGGAATAAAATTTTATGGGGTGTGGATGGAAAGGAAGGGAGGGAGAGAGGGGAAGGAAGTGGGAAGGAGACATTATCACTCTACACAGTCATATCCCTTCCATAAACCCCTTCCATATGTTGTTTCTCATGGGTACAGAAAGGAAGACATGTTATAGTGAAGGAGGGAAGGAAGGAGAGAGATAGAGGGAGAGGTAGAATGGGGTCACCACACTATCACTCCACACATGTCCATTCCATCGTCCCTATCCCATGTGTCCTTTCCCTCCTAGCCTCTAAGATACCAATTCCAGAGTGTATGGGAGGGAAACTAGGGGATGTGAGGGGTGAGGAGCGAGTAGGGGTTGTGGGAGGGGACGTGGAAAAGGGGTGAGAGAAAGAGGGGTCTCTCTCTCTCTCTCTCTCTCTCTCTCTGGCCCTAACAAACCCTCCTCGTCTCACCTCTTCAACTCAACTTAATTAAAGGAATAGGTATTCTAAGGCTGGTCTGTACGTGTCACTACGATGTCTGGGAGAGGGGGAGAGAGGTGGAGTGGGGGGAGAGGGGTGGGGGGAGAGGTGGGGGAGAGAAAGAGAGACAAAAACACTCCCCCTTATCTCCTCCCTAAAAACACACACACACACACACACACTTATATGCAAATTTATGCATTGAGTTTAGAAAGGTGTATAACTCAGGTAAAAATAACAGGCCTCATAATCTGGCCACACCGCTCTATAATTCCCTCAAGTCCCTTCACCTAAAACATCTATAATCGTGTATGAAAATGTATGAGACGTTCCAGTTGATTGAAATGTGTATGAATAAATCCTTACGTGTATAATTGCCTGTGTATATTTATATGAATACATCCATACATTCACGCGGATTGAGTCTGTATACTATAACACAATGATGGATTCTCAAATGTTCGTACGTTAATTTTTTGTCTTAACTTATCTTGTGAGAAACTTAACTCACAAATAAACTGACTGACTGACTGAGTAACTAACTGACTGAGTGACTAACTGACTGACTGACTGACTGACTCACTGACTCACACTACGACACAAAAGATGAATTCTCAAAAGCTCTTACTATCAAATTCTCCTTCCTATATTTTCTTGTTTCACTTAAGTTACGATAACAAAGATGACAAATCAAAAATGGCGCCAAAATTATACCTAAACTTGATAACATACCAAAATATTCTCTTGTAAACGCCGTAAATAGTAAAAATAATAGTAAAAATAATGGTAAATAGTAAAAATAATAGTAAAAATAATAGTAAAAATAATGGTAAATAGTAAAAATA